CTAGCTACACATTTCCCCCATCTTCCAGATAATTTGTGGAGACCGTCCCAATAGAACTTTTCTTGTTTTGAGGCAGACCATTCAGAGACCCAATTTTCCACTTCTTCGTACGTTTTGAAGTGCTGCTCAGAAAGTGCATGTGCCTTCGATCGGAACAAGTGGTCATCAGAAGGAGCAAGACAACAAAATAGCATGAAAACATATCGAATCGCATATATGTCAACATACGTGTAACTCCATCTATTGAAAAAAATCTGCATTATTAACCAGTACATGGGTACAGTTCAATGCCACTTTGGAAAACAGTTTGGCTGTTTCTTATAAAACTGAACACGCACCTACCATATGACCCAGCCACCGCACATCTGGGCATTTATCCCAGAGAAATAAAAATCCATGTTCACACAATAGGAACTTCATAGCAGCTTTGTTCGCAATTACCCGACACTGGAACTGCTCCCAATATCCCTTCCGTGGGGAGATGGTTAAATAAACTGGGGTCCATTCCTGCCGTGAAAGACAAATCAGCAATTGAAACGATGGATACACGCAACTTGGATGGGTCTCCATGGAATTATGCTGACTACACCCCCAAAAAAGCCAATCTCAAAATGTTGCATACTGTTCAGTGATGGTTTTGTATCTTGATTGTGGTTTGGGTTACATACGTCATCAAATTGCACAGAACTAAACACACACACGCACAGACAAATGAGTGTGTATAAAACAGATGAAATCTGAATAAAGTGTGTAAATTGTACCAAAGTCCATTTCCTGGTTTTGATATTGTACGAGAGGTATGCAAGATATTACCATGGGAGCCCAGCTGGTGTGGCTCAGTGGTTGAGCGTCGACCTATGAACCCGGAGATCACGGTTCGATTCCTGGTCAGGGCATATGCCCTTGTTTCGGGCTCAATCCCCAGTGTGGGGCATGCAGGAGGTAGCCGATCAATGATTCTCTCTCATCATTGATCTCTCTCTCCTACTCTCCCTTCCTCTCTCTCTAAAATCAATTAAAAACATCTTTTTTAAAAAGAGAGAGAGAGAAGCAGCATGGAGTGGAAAGAAAAAGTTGAAAATAACACACATAATAAAATCACATTTCTGGAAAATTATGTTCCTATGCATGTTTTAGCCCATGAGGATACCTAGAAAAATGGATGCCAAGATGTTAATAATGATATTTGAAAGAAGAGGGCTTTTACTTTCTTATTTACAAGTTGAATTTTCTATAACAAACATGTATTCTCTTCACAACAAAAAAACAAATTGGAGGGAAAAAATTTTAATTTTGGAGAGAGAGAAACTTCAATCAGCTGCCTCCCTCACGGGTCCCAACCAGGGATCGAACCTGCCACCTGGATATGTGCCCATCCCTGGAGTCAAACCCGAAACCTTTTGGTGTATGGGATGATGCTCCAACCATCAGAGCCACCTAGCCAGGACTGCCCTTGTTTGGGGCTTATTGTGTGTATCAGTCATTTCAAACGCTGAATTGTATTTCTCGGCATGAATCGACCCCAGTTTGTTTAACCATTTATATTGGGCTAGACTTTTCCTTGTCAATTCCTAGAAAAATCTTTACCTAATAGGAAAATTAGCTCTTTGTTTATTATTTGAGTTGCAAATCTTTATCCTGGTTTGTCATTTTTGCCTTTTGCCTTTATACACGGCCTTTTGCCGTGTACACGTACATATAATTGTTTTGGCCCATGTCCATGAGTTTTTTCTTTTTTTCTCTCTCTCTCTCTCCCTCCACACCCACCACCTCACCCACACCCCCAAGAGCTGTAATAAAAATTACTAGTATGTTCTGTTTGGGCTTCTGGTTTTTGAGTCATTGCTAAAAAGGCCTTCCCACTCTAACATTATGAAGGGATTCCTTTACGTTTCTCCTAGTAGTTTTAAGGTTTCATTATTTACTACATAATCTCTGGTCCATATGCATTGAACCTTGGACTACAGTGTGAGGTATGGATTCTGGGTGTTTTTCCCCCCCGGTGGTCATTCATTTGTCTTCACGTTATTATTAATGTGTGTGTGTGTGTGTGTGTGTGTGTGTGTGTGTGTGTACAGAGAGGAGATGGGGGGAAAGGTGTGAAAGGAAGCCACTGAATGAAACCACAGGAAGGTTTGAAATGTTTCAGGTGAGAAAGCTGGGGACCTGCAGAAAAGACCTGAGGCCAGTGGTCGGCCAACTGCAGCTCTCGAGCCACATGCGGCTCTTTGGCCCCTTGAGCGTCGCCACGAAGTTTCCATCGCACTGTACGCGCACGCCCGCACGTGGTAGTTTGTGGAAGAGCCACACTCAAGGGGCCGCAGTTTGCCGACCACTGCCTTAGGCCATCGTGTCCACCCTCTCAAAGTAGGAATGGGGACACTGAGGCCCAGATGGTGGTGTAGATATGACCCCCAGGATCTCTGGACCTCAAGGCTGACACAGAGGGAAGAAGAGACTGACCTCACCACGCAGCTGGGGAAATCAGGCGGAAGCAGAAGTGACGCTTCTCCAGGCTCCCCAAATAGAAGCTGTGGTTTCCCCCCCTTTCTCAGGAGCAAACCACCATCTTCACTTCTGCTTGCAACCCCAACATCCCAGTCGCCATCCCCCGAGAGGCACCGCCCACTGATCCCCCACACCCTTGGCCATCTCCATCAACCCACCACCCCCGTCACCCCACACCCTTGGCCATCTCCATCAACCACCACCCCTCATCACCCCACACCCTTGGCCATCTCCATCAATCCACCACCCCCGTCACCCCACACCCTTGGCCATCTCCATCAACCCACCACCCCCGTCACCCCACACCCTTGGCCATCTCCATCAATCCACCACCCCCGTCACCCCACACCCTTGGCCATCTCCATCAACCCACCACCCCCATCACCCCACACCCTTGGCCATCTCCATCAACCCACCACCCCCGTCACCCCACACCCTTGGCCATCTCCATCAACCACCACCCCCGTCACCCCACACCCTTGGCCATCTCCATCAACCACCACCCCCGTCACCCCACACCCTTGGCCATCTCCATCAACCCACCCCCCCCATCACCCCACACCCTTGGCCATCTCCATCAACCCACCACCCCCATCACCCCATACCCTTGCCCATCTCCATCAACCCACCACCCCCATCACCCCACACCCTTGGCCATCTCCATCAACTGCCATCCCTGTCACCCCACACCCTTGGCCACCTCCATCTACCCATTGCCCTGCAATTCATAACAGAGGATGTTAGGACTGTAGGGCAATACAATCCTTAACGGCCATTTGTAAGCTTCCCGCCACAGGAGAACAAAAGACCAGAAAAAAACCCACTGGACTCCAGGAGTCAGACCATACAAGGATCGGAAATTATCCTGAAGACACCTGATCACCTGCATTCCACCCGCATTCCAAGCCCACATTCCACGCCCACCCACTCAGCCCCCAGACCCACTCAGGACAAGTGTCCCGCCAGGGACTGCATATCGGAGTGAAACTGCAGCTCCTGGCTGCTGCCATCACCCACCCAGGGTCCGCTTGGCTGGGTGCTGGGCAGCCCTTCCCTTTGGAGAGCCCATCCCCCACCCCCTTTCCCTTAAACCAATCTCATTTTCTTTCATCACCGGCTGAGATAGCTGGTGAGCCTGCCTGCAGACCCCACCCACCACGTTCACTTTCACTTTGTTCAGCTGGGCTGGTTCCTCTTGGCATCCACCTAACAGAGGGCCCTTGGGAAACAGGAAACCCTGACCTGACTTCCAAGGGGGTCCCAATGGACGGGGTGGGGGATGCGGGGTGGAGGGGTGGTTGGGGGGGGCGGGGGGGGGCTGAGCACGGCACAGGGGTGTGCCTGGTGTTCCCCAGAGGTCAAGCTGGGACTCCAGCCCATGGCTCCAGACTCCAAGTCAGAAGCTGCCCCCGCCCCTGGCAGCCTCCCAGCAGCTGAGCTGCTGCGTGGGCGAGTGAGGCCCTATTGAGCCAGGGGAGAGATAAGGAGACCTTTGCAGCAGAGCCTTTGGAGGATGCAAATTTGACAGCCAGTTCCGGTTTTCAGGGCGGGGCTGTGACGCCAACACAACCCCCAGCAAGTACCCTGACCTCCCTTGTGCTTCGGGTTTTCTCATCTGTAACGTGAGGCCACGGAGACCTATTTCCCAGGGAGAGAGACTCAAACAACCTTTTCCATGGCACATGGCTGGGAATCAGCGCCTGAGCCGAGGGCCCTGGCCAGGAGTACATCTCGGGAGCCCCTGCCTTCCTCCGGGAGCTGACCCCGCACCCGCAGCCCACCCTCTCCCCAAGGCATCAGGGCCTGCGGAGCCCCACCCATCGCTTCCAACAGCTGCTCCTGACAGCCACCAGCTGGAGCCCCACCTCCGGCCTCACCCTGGCCCCGTGGTCTTTGCAGACAAGCCCTGACAGGTGTGGTTATTGGCCCATTTCACAGGTAGGGAAAGCAAGACCATGCCCAAGCCCAACAGGGCGTCTGAGACCCAGACAGCACCGGAGCCATTTCCCTGGGACGCTCTGTCCCCAGGCTCCAGTCCGGGCCCCTGCAAGAGGAACTGCCCAGCTCCAATTTGCTCAGCCAAACAAACCCTCTGCCAGCACTTGATCTGGTCACCTGAAGTGCAGGTAACTGGACTAGCCCCATTTGACAGATGAGGACACTGAGGTCCAGAAGAGAAAGGTCCAATAGCTTGCCCCAGGCCACAGGGGGAGAGTTAACATTTGAGCTCAGCACCTACCAACCCCTTAATTTAAATTGCCTTTTTTTCCCCCCCAAAAAACATCCATCTCTACATTCCCCTCCATTCAAAGTTGCCACGGGGAGCCCAGAAACTGGTGAACGGCATGAAGGTAGGTGCCAGGCTTGCAGCTCCGGGCAAGTCCCCAGCCTAGTACCGCCGGGGTCGGGGCCTGGCCAGTGCCTGCTGGGAACCTGCAGAGGAGGAAGAGAGCTGGGGAGTGGGGAGAGAGAGGCCCAGAGGAGGAGCTGACCTGTGAATCGGCTGCCGTCCGCCTGGTCTGCCTGCAGTCTCGCTGCCTTCTCCCCTCTGCAGGAGGAAGGGGAAGTAGCACCTTGTGCCGGGATCTCCTCTCTGCTCTGTTCACCCCACGCCCGCAAACCCCTACACTTCTCTCTGCTCTCTTCACCCCACCGCATACCGCGCTCTAGCTTCACTTCTTCTTTCCCGCCAGAGGCCTTTTGCTTCCTCTGCACCGACAGCTATCCGCCTTTGATCTGGAGACCCGGGGCCCGCAGCAGGCGGGTGCTCGGAGTCTGTGGGGGAGGGAGGAAGGCTGGCCAGCGCGCTCCAAGGCCCACCTCAGCTCTGCAGCCGTGGGCAAGGGGCGCCACCTCTCTGAGCCTCAGTTTCCCCATCTGTAGGAAAGGGAGAATGACCCCTGCCTGACCTGACAGTCGATGAGATTGGTGAGGCAAGGACCGCAGGCAAGGGCTGGGCAGACTGCCTGGGTTCAAACGCCAGGCCCACCACTTACAGACACACCTGCCTGGCACTGAAACCTCAGTTTCCCCCTGTAAAACGGACATAGTGACAGCACCACGGCATGGGGCAGTGTGGGACTTATTATACAAGGCGATGCTGCACAGTCACCGTAAGTACTCCATAAGCCCTCAGTGACCCACAGGTGGGGAGCCTGAGGCCTGGAACGGACAAGGACAGAGCCCCTGGGGAAGGGACTCACCAAGGGCAGGGCTCAGAAAACGTGGCCAGAAGAGTGGGGCTGGAAGGCTGGCCAGCTTCTCCTCGATCCAGGGGCCTGGACAAGCCTGTCCTCCACCAGCCACTTCCTCCCGGGGACCCTAAGGGACAGGGGGAGGTGTCTGATGCGTTGGTGGGAAGACAGTGTCTCTCCCCTGTCTGGGCCCCATCCAGACTCCCTGGGAAAATTCTGACTCAGAAACCTGCTTCCTACCCCTGGGGGTCGGGGTGTAGCAAGGAGAAGAGGGCAGGTCCCAGCATGGTCCCTTCTCTGCCCGCAGCCCAGGGACCTTCCAGCATCAGCCTAAGCCCAGCCCTCAGGGAGCTCAGGCAGCCTCTGTGGGAAGGAGAGGGGACCTGCCCCTGGGAGGCAGGGAGGTTTCAGGGGAGCACAGGTCCCCCCCCAAACCCCAGCTGCAGTGCAAAGGCTTTGCAGGGTTCCCTATGACCTGTGTCCTGACCCTTGGCCCACCCTCCCGCTGGGTCTGCACTTGAGTTTTCCGTGACCAGCACCCAGATTTGACCTCCAGGCCCTTCCTTTCTGAGGTTTCCTGGCTACCACCAGGGTTGCAGCACCGGCAGCCTTCCTCCCGGGCTGCGTGCGAGCCCAGGCAGCTGCTCTCAGGGCCTGGGAGGAGGTCCTGTAGACCCAAGCCCAGTTTTCCCTCCGGGATCTGTGCCAGCTTCACCTGGCTCCGGCTCAGTTGGGAAGAGAACTCAGGCCAAGACACCCCCCAGCTCAAAAGCCAGCGGCGAGTGTGGCTCCTTTGGTTGAAAAGGGGCCACATACTAAAACTCAGCAGAGGCCGGTGTGGCAACCTTACAAACTCAGAGACCTAAAGTAACCACCAAGGATGGTCTGAAATTAAAACTTGTTAACTACAAGCAGTTTCTGGCAGGTAGTCACGTCCGAGGCTAGGATCTTCCCTGACAAAAGCCACTCTTTACCTTAATTGAACCCGTCTACTGTCTTTTTGCATCTAGCATAACATAACTTGGAATGGCAACCACATTCTGCTTCCTGTCTAGGCATCTAACTACTCTAGGTACCCCACATAAACATCCAGTATTTGTCCTTTCGTGGCAGGCTTACTTCACTTAGCACAGCGGTTCTAATCTGTGGGTCGCAACCCCTTTGGGGGTCGAATGACCCTTTCACAGGGGTCGTCTAAGACCATCGGAAAACACATATATAATTACATATTGTTTTTGTGATTCATCACTATGCTTTCATGATGTTCAATTTGTAACAATGAAGTTGGGGGTCACCACAACATGAGGAGCTGTATTAAAGGGTCGCGGCATTGGGAAGGTTGAGAACCACTGACTTAGCATGATGTCATTCATGCTGCAGCATGGGCCAGAATTTCCTCCCCTGCTCAGGCTGAGCAATATTCCTTTGTATGCACCACATTTTGTTTCACCAGCAGACCCGAGTTGCTTCTAGCTGTTGGCCATTGTAAAGGTGGGTGCACATATCATGCCCCTTTTTAACAAAGAAAAAGTCTCTAGCTGGATTAAAGATGTCTCGCTTACATGATATTTATTTTTATGGTTTTCTTCTGTTTATGCCAACCGATACAAATTTCCCATCCCTAAAATACATGTAATGTTCTAGAATGTAAAACGATTTAAAAAAAAAGATAAGCTAAGTAACTAATGGCACCAGTGCCAAGTGTCGATGGCAAAAATGGGGGCAGATACAGGACAGAGAAGTGTGGGAAATGCTGACACAAGCCTCAGTCTAAAACCCCACGGAGCTGAGTTGGGGAGAGAAACTCCTGGGGGGTGGGCCCTGGGGGCTGACACCCCATTAGCACTTCATCTGAAGGCTGCCTGGAAGTGTGGTTTTAGGAACAGGGTGACATTGGTAAACTGAGTCAGATCTGGGCTCTGAGCCCCCAGCCCTGTGACCGTGGGCCTGCCGCTTGACTTCCGCTCCTCACTTTTCTCACTAGGAGATGGTGTTACCGACGCCCAGCTCACAGGGTGGGTGTAAAACAGGTAATTCATGTGAACTGCCAAGCCTGCGGTCAGCACCCATCGTGGTTCCAAGAATGGGTGGCTCCCCCAACCCCTCACTCTGAAAGAGACATCCCTAGGACAAGTATTTTTTTTTTAATATATTTTATTGATTTTCCACAGAGAGGAAGGGAGTGGGACAGAGAATCAGAAACATCGATGAGAGAGAAGCATCCATCAGCCGCCTCCTGCACGCCCCCCACTGGGGATGTGCCTGCAACCACGGTACATGCCCTTGACCGGAATCAAACCTGGGACCCTTCAGTTCGCAGGCCGACACTCTATCCACTGATCCCAACCGGTCAGGGCAGGACAAGTATTTTTTTTAAATGTGTTTTTATTGATTTCAGAGAGAGGGAGAGGGAGATAGAAACATCAGTGATGAGAGAGACTCATTGACTGGCTGCCTCCTGCACGCCCCCTACTGGGGATCAAGCCCTCAACCCTGACCCCTGACCAGGGAATAGAACCGTGACCTCCTAGTTCATGAGTCGAAGCTCAACCACTGAGCCACACTGGTCAGGCTAGGACAAGTATTTTTGCTTCCTCTCTTAAGAGGGAAGACCCAACTGTAATGGCGCTACAATTGGAGTTTAGGGTCACCATCAACTCACCTCCTCCGCCTCCTCCCTGCCTCCCCTCTGGGAACTCTGGAAGGAACTCTGGGCTCTTGGTCCAAGGCTGTGCTTAGTGGCTTTGGGGGTTTGGGTATGTCTGAGCCAACGGCCTCCCTGCGCATCCCCCCAGCTTTAAAATGGGGACATCGGGTCCTCTGCGTCCTCTCTATCTAAACCTCACAGGTCCCAGATGCACCCTAAGCTGCCCTTGGAGCCCGGGCAGCAACATTTACAGGTTAGTTCCCTCTCAAACATCGCATATCCCCATCCAAATCGGTCTCTAGCTGTCAGGAGCTACCAAGGTTTCACCATAGGAACGCAAAGCAAATGAAGAAGAGTGAAACTGCAGGTCTTGCAAAAGAGGTGGGGATTTCGGGAAGCTGATGGAAGCAATGCCATAGAAACGAGCAGCCGCTAACCACAGAGGAAGAAAATCTCTGTAAGATAAGTGACCTTGACCTTCTCGAGAGGACCCTCAAATATTTTTTTTGCAAAAAAATGACCTTTTTGATGCTTCCATCATTCTAAGGCGTGCAATGGGTTAAACACTAATATATCTTCGGCATTTTTTGGTTTATTTTTCGAGGTCAAGTCCCAGTCCCGCCAGGTTCCCCCCCCCCCCCCCCCCACACACACACACACAATTTCTGAGTTTTTGGTCTTCTTTCTGGAGGGATTCACCCCAGTCTGCCCTCCAGGGCACAGTATATGGTGAAGGGCCCTCCCAGATCTGCCCCGCCCCTTCCCGCCAAATCCGCAGACACCCCCCCCACCCCAACCCCCAACCCCCAAACTCTCAAGGCGTCTGGGCCCTAGCCGGGCAGAGCCTCGCCGCTCCACGTCCGCTCGGGAGCAGAAAGCAGTTAACAAAAGTGAACGTCATCCTGGGGCTCCACGTGCTGAGCCCGGGACCCGCAGTGCCCACTGCTGCGGGCGGGGGGGGGGGGGGAGGAGGAGAAGAAAGGGGGTGCCTAGTCCTTCGTTGGCGCTCGGGATCCTGAGGCGGGAAAGCGGAGCCCAGCCCCGCGGGGTCTCCGGCCCCTGCCTCCCGCCCCCCACCCTCGGCCCCATGCGGGGGTGGGGCCTCCGTCGGGGTCCCGCCCGCTCTGTAGCAGACCCCGCCGCCCAGGCGCGCGCCCCTCGCCCCCAAGTTGGGCGGGCGCCCCCACCCCAGCATCTCAGCGGGCCAGGGTCACGGCCCGGCTGCAGCTACCCGGGCGCCCCACCGCCCCCGCCGTCTCCTCTCCCTCCCCTCACCCCCCCTCCCCCCGAGGGAGGAGGAGACTCCGCGGCCCTCCCGGCGACGGCCGCAGCCAGCCCCGCGCCCGCTCCGCCCTGCAGCGGCGGGTCGGACGTCCGGAGCCCGCGGGTCCCTGGCCGAGGTGAGCGGGGAGCGGCAGTGCCAGGGGCGGAAAGTCCCCGCGTCCCGGGAACCCCCTCCAGGCCGCGATCTTCCGCGGGAGGCAAGGGGTTAAGTTGGGGGCGTGCTGGAGAGAGGGGCGCAGCGGGGGGCTCCTGCGCCCGCAGCAAACGCTGAGCAGAACTTCCTAGCCGCCTCCCCGGGTTCCCCCGCGTCCGGCCCCTGGGCCTCCGGTGCGGAGGGGCTGCGGGTCGGGGGGTGGGGGTGCAGGGCCGCCCACGGATGCCCGGCCGGACGGGAGGGGGCTGCGGGCGGGGCAGAACTTGGAACTCTCCCGGGGGACACAACGTAGTCACCAGGGCGAGTGCGGGATGGACGGGCGGCGCGGGCCAATCGGAGCCCGGGTCCCCTCGCCCGGCTGCCAATGGGGACCTCGCGGTGTGGTGGGCGGGACAGCGCCGCGCGGCCGGGAGCCCCCTCCGCCCGCCGCTAGGGGGTGCGGGGCGGCCCTGCCCTGGTCCTGGACGGGGCGAGGAAGTGGGCATTCAGGCCGGGGAAAGGCGGAAAGCGGGTTTCCGTAGGGAGCCGGGGCAGGTGGGGCGACGGCTAAGGGCCAGGAAAAAGGAGGGGGCCCCGGTTGCCCGCCGCTCTGATGTGCCCACGGGGATGTCCGACCAGCCAGCTCCCCTTCTGGGCTTCGGCTTCTGTCTTGAGTGAGGGTTGTTCAGGGCTGTGGCGTTGGATTGGTTCAAGTTGGCACAAGGTCTGCCCACTTGTTGGACAGAACTTCTAGGAATCTGGTTAGCGCCCTGCCCCATCGTTCGGGTAAGAAGCCCGGCCCAGAGAGGATAGGGACTTGCAGATGTCACACAGCATAGCGGTGGCAGAGTGGGACTCGAGGGATGTCTTCTCTGCAAACATGAATAGATCGAGGAGCTGCTGAGACTCCCACCGAGGGCTCCCACCCTCTTCCATACCAGCTATGGTTGACCGCTTGGCCAGATGCATGAGGACCCCATTGTAGAGGTGCCCCAACGCCCCCCGCCCCCCCCCCCCCCACACACACACACACTACTTTGCTGCTGGTCCTCTGTAGATGTGGGGAGTAGCTGCTCCCCTCGGACTCAGAGGGGCCATTTGTAAAGAAATGTTATAGTTAGTGACCCGGCCTATCTTTGTGGCTCCTCCGTCTGAGATGGGGGTATCTGAGACAGTCCAAGGGTGCCCATGCCAGGGCTCAGGTTCCGCTTGCCTCCCTCCATCCTCTCCTGGAGGTCCAGTGGCTGGAGCCCAGGCAGCAGGTCAGAGAGACAGGTGCCCACAATTTGTGGCTGACCAGCCTGGGACCCTGCACTTATCCAATCAGGCTGTCCTCTGCGGTTTCCTGCTGGGCTCTGCTCCCTGCCCACAGCCAGGCCTGTGGCCCTGGGCCAGCCCCATAGCGCCACCTGAAAGGTTCTGGGGGGACATAGGGGGTTTCTGAGCTGGAGGGAGGAGTTGGGCCACCAGGCACACCCCTAGTCCCCCCAGCTGGCCCCCATCCAGGCTTCAGCATGGCTCACTCCCCTCATTGGATATTGAGAGTCATCTAAACATGCTTAGGACAAAACACAATGTTGTCCCTCTATGGGCCTATTCGGCTTCTTCAGGTAAGAGGCTTGACCACTGACTTGGCCATAAGATGACCTCTGACCCTGACCTTGGCCACAGACAGGCTCAGGCACCCACCTGTCTCGGAGCCTGCCACAAAGTGACTCCTGATCCTTAGAATGACTCAACTCCCCCTGGTCGCAAGGGGACTCCTACCTGTCCATCTTTCGTCCATAGCCCGGGAAGCATTAATGCAGCATCTGCTGTTGGCAGGGCCCTGTGCTGACAGCCCGCAAGACCAAGGTGCCCTTGTGGACTTCACAATGTGGCCATTGCTGAAAAACAGGGAGGCGCCAGTGCTTTGGGATCATTAACATAATCTGTTACGAGGTCAGGGAAGCCGTCCCAGAGGAGTGGAAACTGAAGGTGGGTCTTGAAGGATGTGTAGGAGTTTGCTGGTGGAGAAACAAGGGAGAGATGTTCCAGACCAGTCCACAGGCAGCAGGAACCACTGATCACTTCCTGTAGACAAACCTGATGAGGGCCTAGCCTGAAGCAAGTATCATGTGAAAGCATTCTTGCTTCCGTTCTAGAGTGTGGCCAGCAGCTGTCTGGAGCAGTGAGGATGGCTGAGGGCTGGGGTTGGGGAGCTCTGGGTCCCACTCAGCCCTGTTGCCCAGCTAAGGGTACGCAGGTTACAGTTCAGCCTCTGCTCTCCACCCTCCCAGCCAAATTGAAGCCAGTCCTCAATGCCGGGCCTGTCCTAGAAGCTCTGGGTGGCACAAGAGTCCCGCCTGGGTGGGCGGAGGCCTGAGCTGCAAGGGGCAGCTGGCCAGCTCTGGCGGTGGAGGGTTGTAGGGCTGTGCTCCCTGGGCAGGCGGTGGGGCTGGGAAGGTCAAGGCATTTCCTGAGGGTGAGGGGATTGAGCTTGAAGGATTTGGGGGCGGGGGCGTTCAGAGTCTGAGGGTTAGAGCAGGAATAGAGCCACCTGGCTGGTGGGAGGCAGGAGAGGGGAAGGTGGAGTGAGGAAGTGTCCCTGTGGTCTGCAGTGGCTGGAACCTCCTGGACCTGCTTCCTGGGGGGCTCAGGAAGCCACCCTGCACCCATAAAGGCACAGCGATGGGAAGGAGACACTGAGCCTGGAGGGTAAGGGCAGCGGGCAGGGCCGCCTGTCTCCGTAGCCAAGCTGGACCTGTGTTGTGTGTGAGTGTGCGCGTTACCAGGGACTCTGTGGGCTTTTGTCCCCAAGGCTGTGTTATGTGAGAGGGGTGGTGGGGGGTGAGGAGAGGGGTGCGTTGCTTCGCAGGGTCCGGTTGAATTTGTGGGTGTGCAGGGTTCCTGGTGGGCTAGGGGATGGGTTTCTCCAGAAAACCAACCTTGGGACCCGGGCCCCCACTCCTTCCCACACGTGGGCATATGCACCCTCCGGGGGCCACTGGAAGAAGAGCAGGAGGGCTGGCTGTTCAGATCCCCTCTGTCCCCGCTGCTGTCCTTCCTCCTCCCCCAGCCTCCAGGAAGGGCCAGACCAGGTTGCCAAAAAGGGGCACAGGAGCTGAGCCTGAAGCTCACCCCTGCCTTTAGCGTGGGCGCCTGGAAGCCATTAGGGGCCTGGGTGGCGCCGCCCTGCCCCTTTTGCGACAGGCTTGGGATTCCTGGAAGGAGCAGGCCACCCCCTCCCTGCCGAGCCCGTGCCAGGCCTGGCCCCGCCCAGAGGCAGAGAGGGTGTGGCAGTGGCCTCCTCCCTGTTACCCTCTCAGTTTAGGGGCTACAGGAAGGGCCCAGCAGAGAGGGCCTGGGCCCCAGGACCCCCTACCCGCCTCCATCCCCCATTTCTAGCACAGCCCAGGCTGCCTGGCTGGCACTTGGATTTCCTGCCGCCTTCCCCTCCCCCGCAGGCTCTCACATTGTTTTTCTTTTCCAAGAGCTTCTCCACGTGGAGTCTGGCCAGGAAAATGGGGAGAGGAGAGTGAGTGTCCGTATGCATGTTTGTGTGTGTGTGTGAGTGTGTGCATCCACTTAACAGTGAGTGTCTTTGCCTGTCTCTGTGTGTATCCATCCGTGTGTTGGCATGTGTATGCCTTCACGCGTGTCCGGGACTCTCTACAGGTGAGCATCTCTCTGTGCATCCGTAGAGCTGTGCGTGCATCGGGTCCATCTCTGAGTGTGCACGTGCCTGCCTGTGTGTCTTTGTATCTGTGTCTGGGTGTATGGGATGGGGGATGGACGGTACCTGCCAATGTGCCTGGGTGTGCACAGCTGTCTGTGAACACTCATGGGGTCACAGCCAGCTACCTCATTGCACAGGAGGAGAGACTGAGTCACAGAGAGGGCACTCAGCCTGCCAGGGGTCCTTTGGGGAGTCAGTGGCATTCTGGGAAATGGAACCTCACCTGCATGGTTGTGTCTGGGTGCATGACTTTGTGCAGATATTACTGGGGTTGAGACGTATACATTTGTGTGTATGGATCATGGGCGGTGACAAGGCATCACAAATACCCAAATGTCCTAAACTTGGACTATTAAAATACAATTCCCAGCCTCCTATCTACTGAACTTGACTCTCTAGGGGTGGGGCCCGGAGACTGCATTTAAAGCAACTATCCTGTTAGGGACAGAGAAGAGAGGACCTGGGGGCTTGGGGCGGGCAGGGAGGGAATGCCAATCTGGTGGCTTACCTTTTCACTGACATTCAATCACCTGCCAAGAGTGAGGGGGTTGGAGACTGGAAGAGGGGACGCAGGGTTGGCAGGCAGTGTGGGGACCAGCCAGGGTTGAGAAGTGCTCCGATTGGTCGCTCTGAAAAGGAAGGGATAGAGATCAGGGTGGGCCTTAGGGGTGGGGTGAGGGACAGGCTAGCTGAGCGGGGAAGGAAGGTCACGATGTCTCCTGCCGGAGGTGGTCAGAAGGAGGCCACCTGGAGGGAGAATGTGGCAGGTTATGGACAGGGAGGGCCATGTGTCTGATTTATTTTAAAGGGGATGTGGCCTATGAACTGCAGAGCCCGACACCTCCCCAGAGATTGCATTTGGACTCCCAGATACCATATCTGTCAGCTCTGGGTCTTAACCTTGTGGAGCCTTCCTCTCCTCTTCAGTAAATGTCAGTCACTTCTCTCGAGTCTGTTGAGATAAATAAATGAGATAATTCGCATAAGGCATGGTACCTGGCCTGTAAGTGGGCCCTCCACAAATGTCATTGTCATCATGTGCTAAGACTAAAACATTGGCCAGGTACCAGCTTCTGGCCTCAGCAAACTCACAGGCTGGGGTGAGAATGGGGAGCAGGCAGGGGTCAGGGGTCGATCACCTGACCTGAGGTGATATCTCAGATAAGTTTTAAGGATGAGAAGAGTTGGCCCAATGTAGGAAGAGGCAGGAGGGCCAGCATGGAAGCATGCTGTGTTCGGGATGGCGATGGGGGAGTAGTAGTTGCTCAGTGTGTCAGAGGGGACCTGAAGGTCAGGGACAGCAGATCAATACTGCAGATCAGCTGCCACTACAGCAGGTTGAAGGGACTAAAGCAGGGAGTCTGGAGACCAGTGAGAAAGCGGCTGCAGGCCCTTGCTCACCATTCCAGCCTCACAGGGTTCTTCCACCATTTCCTCTCCCCCTGCCTTTGCCGCGCTGTTCTCTCTGCCGGTTATGCCCTCCCCATGGCTGCTGTTATGGATGAGGACAGGCGGTGCCACAGTCTACTAACGGTGCACCCTCCCACAGGTCCCAGGAGGCACCCCCCACCCGGTGGCCAGGAGAGCAGGGGGTAGCGGTGTCATCATGCACAGTGGTATCGCAGCTGCCGGACGTCCCCCTCGCTGCCCCTGAGTCCAGCCCAAGTTCAAGTCCGGGGCCCACCAGCCCGCTTGCACCATGAGCCACGGGCCGAGCCCCCGGCTGGCCGAGTCCCCGCAGCTGTCCAAAGGCAGCCTTCTGACCATCCTCGGCAGCCCGTCACCCGAGCGCATGGGGCCGGTGGACTCGCTGCCGCCCACGCCGCCCAGCGGCACGCCCTCCCCGGGCCCGTCCCCCGCGCTGGCGCTGCCGCCGGCGCCCGCGCTGCTCGCCGACGGGGACTGGGAGAGCCGGGAGGAGCTGCGCCTGCGGGAGCTGGAGGAGGCGCGCGCGCGGGCGGCGCAGATGGAGAAGACCATGCGCTGGTGGTCGGACTGCACGGCCAACTGGCGGGAGAAGTGGAGCAAGGTGCGCGCCGAGCGCAACCGCGCGCGCGAGGAAGTGCGCCAGCTGCGCCAGCGCCTGGACGCGCTCACCAAGGAGCTGGCGGGCGCCCGCCGCGAGCGCCAGGAGGCGCAGGGCGAGTGCGAGGCGCGGGGCCGGGAGCTGGCGCGGCTGCGGGGCGCCCGCGGAGCCGCCGACCCGACGCCCGACGGACCCGAGACGGAGCCCGAGCGGGAGCACGAGCCGGTGCGAGACGTGGGGTCCGAGAGGCCCCAGAGCAGCCAGGTGTGTGGAGGAGGCGGAGCTGCCGGGCGGGGCTCAAGCCCTTTGGGTCCGAAAGTGGGAGGGGCTGGCTGATGTGGGCAGAAGTGGAGGCTGCCCGGCCCAGAGCCAGGAATGGTGAGGGCCTGGTGCCCTAAGAGGTTTCACTCCTGTGGGTTGACCCTGGGGGGCGGGGGGGTCTCCAGTCACCTCCGTTCCCGAGACCCCTGGGGCAGAGTCCTGGGTTCTGGTGGTCCCTCCACTCCCACACCTGAGTGGTCAGCAGCACCAGGGAATCAGCCCATTTGAGCCAGAGTAGGATCTAACTAAGTACTTGCCTGGAAGGCATCCATCAGTAGCAGAGCTGAGCCCATTCATTCGTTCAACTTGAATTTGGGGGGAGAGGTAAACACAAGCACCAATTAAAGCCGAGGGGTGGGGGGGCTGGGAGGCACTAGGAACATGGAAGAGTCCCGGATCAGGCTCTCCCGAAAGCGGTCCCGTTTAAACTGAGACTAAGTCACTAAAAGGATGCAGAGGAATTGGCTGTGAAAAGTGAAGACAGGTAGTCCCTCCAGGTGTGGCAGTGGCGCACCTGGTGCATCGGGGAACTGGCAGCAACAGCTCCTGTCAGTCAATGGGCACCTACCCGGAGGCTCAGCTCTGTGTGCATCATCTAGTTCAGTGATGGCGAACCTTTTGAGCTCCCGTGTCAGCATTTTGAAAAACCCTAACTTTGGTGCCGTGTCACATATAGAAATTTTTTTGATATTTGCAACCATAGTAAAACAAAGACTTATATTTTTGATATTTATTTTATATATTTAAATGCCATTTAACAAAGAAAAATCAACCAAAAAAATGAGTTCGCGTGTCATAGGTTCACCATCACTGATCTAGTTCATTCTCACAGCAACCCCCGGAGGTGTTTGCTTTATGGAGGACCACACCGAGGCGGAGAGGTTAAGTCCCAATGTCTCCCAGCTGGAGGCAAGTTGCTGGGGAATTGAACCCAGGTGAACTCCAGAGTCCATGGTAATAATCAGTATGGCTGGAGCGTTGATGGTGGGTGTGGAGGGCAGCGTCCCCCTGAGCCAGCAAGCCTGTCACCAGCGGCCATCTAGGGACAGAGTCCAGGCTGGGGTTGCTTCTAGCTCCATCCCAGACTCTAGCTAAGATTCTGGTTACCCCTTTCCTCCCCTGCCAAGTCCCCTCCCTCCCCTGCCCAGCTCCCTTCACCCCTGTAGGCTGGAGTGGGCCCTGCTACCTCTTCCCCGGGCTTGCCTGGTGTTTGGGGGCGGCAGTCATTGCTCTGCTGTGGGGCAGCCCATGACAGCCCCTGCCAGCCAGCCTCAGGTCTCCTCCTGTCCTGTCCTTGTCCTGGTTGTCAGTCACAGCCCAGGAGGTGGCAGGTGCGGCGGGGAGAGCCCTGGGTTGCAGCCTGAGTTTGTTTGCCAGCCCAGCCGCTTTGCTCTGAGACCAGAACAAGTCCCTTCCCTCCCTGTTTCCCTGTTTGTGACATAGGGCTTTGGACCAGGTGGCACCTGAGGCCCACCCACCCCCCAGACTCCGAGATACAGGAGGAGAATCTCAGTCCTTGGGGAGTCCTCGGAGCCACTGTCCCAGTCCAGTAGTGACACGGAGAGCCAGACAGGGAAGGGAGTGGCCCCCTCGTCTGGAGGGGCCTTGGGGAAGGCAGGCTGGAACAGGGTATCTGGGGTTTGTGGCCAAGGCAGGCCTTGGGGGTGGACAGGGAAGGACAGGGGGACAGAGGGGAGAGGGGATTGGCATTGGGTTAATAATGCCTCACCGCTTCCTGTCTGGGAGCCAGTTCTGCTCACAGGGCCGCCTTACTGTGCATCTCTACCATGTCACCTGTCTTGCAGTGCCTTCGTGTTTGCACCTGAAAAATGGGACCTTAAAGCCAGAATTCCTTTAGAAAGAATTTAGTTCCTGTTCGTTGTAGGAATCCCCTGCTTCTACACTGATCCACACCAATGTCCCAACATATGTTTGCATGCTTACAGTGACAGGGAGCTCACTACCTCTCCTGGGAAATCTTCCAGGATGCAGGGAACCCTAGTGGCCGACTCTTGTGCAGTTCCAGGAGAAAGGGGAGGCCCAGAGGAGGCTGTGTCCCCCCCTTTCTAGGATGCAGGGGCAGGCTACAAAACAGGGATGTGGGGCCCAGAAGGGCTGTGTGACTTGCCCAAGCTTACCCACCAGGCTGATTCCAGACCCAGGGCCTGGGAGAGGCCAAGAGGACTCAGCTGCCACTGTTCCTCCTTGGTCCCCGCAGGAGCTGGAGCTGGTGGAGAACCTGCTGAAGAGCAGACCAGAGGAGCCCGAGGGCTGCTGGGAGACACGCAGTGCGGGGACCGGGGGCCCACGGGGCAGCTCAGGCCGCCAGGAGCGCAGCCGGCTGCCCTGGGAGGACACAGCTGCCATGGAGGAGGAGGCCTCCAAGTTGACTGCCCTACGACTGCGGCTGGATGAGTCCCAGAAGGTGCTGCTCAAGGAACGAGAGTGAGTGCTGGGGCAGGCAGGTGCCAGGGGGTGGGCCGGCAGGTGCCAGCGGGTGGGCAGGCAGGTGCCAGGGGGGTGGGCCGGCACCCCCAGCACCACAGCATGAACATCAGTGTCACAGAGCGTGAGACTCGCCGAAGGGGAGTGGTTCTATTTGGGCTTGAATCCTGCAGCATTAGAACAGTGTGCTCTGCCCAAGGACCCCATGCTAGTTTTCTATTTTATTATTATTATTACTAGAGGCCTGGTGCACAAATTCGTGCACAGGTGGGGTCCCTCAGCCTGGCCAGCTATCCGGGCAATTGGGGCTGTCTCGCCCAGTCCCAACTGGGGCGACTGGAGCCAGCAGGCTGGCGGGGAGGGGTCGCGGAAGGTTGGCTGTGGGAGTGCACTGACCACCAGGGGGCAGCTCCTGCATTGAGCGTCTGCCCCCTGGTGGTCAGTATGCGTCATAGCTACCAGCAGGTCATCACGGTCGTTTAGGCTTTTATATATATAGATTAATTGAAATAATATGTAATATGCAAATCAGAGTGAGGTTCGAGATCCTTTTTACCTCCAGGATGTCATGTACACATTACCAGATGCAGCGTAATTCCTGGATGGGCAGGATGTCCTGGGCACTGCCAGGTATCAGGTACCCCTGGTCCCTGCCCACTAAATGACCCTGTCATCGTGACAATGAAAAACATCCCCGTGGGTTTCTAACATGCCTCTTAGAGGGTGGCATTGTCTCCTCTCAGAACACTGTGTTCGAGTCGCGAAATATTAGACCCTCAGAAAGGGAGCCGGGCGTGGTGTGGGATGGGGAAGCGCAGTGTGCTGAGTAACGGTAAGTGCAGCTGTTGGTTGAGCACTAACTATGTGCTGGAGCCAGGCACAGTGCTTGTTACCATGGCGCCTCATTCCTGCACAGGGTCATGGGAGAACTTGGGAATCCCACCCAGTGATGATGACAAGAGGGGACCCCTAGATCTGAGGGCCATTGGACAGTGTTTTCCAGCTTTTCTAACTGCAGAACCACGTTTTCAAGCCAAGCCTTGCCGGGAACCACAGTACTTGAAACAGAAGCCGGGATCCTATTTGGCAAATGATCCTGGGGCCCAGGGAGAGGGAGGCATCTGCCAGGGGTGGCCAGGGCCATGGAGGCCTGGCCACCTCCTCACACCATGCACTCGTGGGAGGGGTATAGTTCCAGGAGAAATCCAAAACGAGGTGCCTGCCTCAGTGTGGGATGCCAGGATCTTGAATGCCAAGGCAAGGACTTTGGCCATGGGTTCTGCAGGTGCAGAGTGCATAGGAGGACTCTGAGCAGAGGGCGCCGGTGGGCTCATCCTCATGTCTGCCTCTCTCTCTCCCCTCCCCAGGGATAAACTGGCACTGAGCAGAAACATTGAGAAGCTGGAGGGGGAACTCAGCCAGTGGAAGATAAAGTATGAGGAGCTGAGCAAGACCAAGCAGGAGATGCTCAAGCAAGTGAGTCTTGGAGACCAGGGAGGGCTTCCTGGAGGAAGCAGCATTGTGCTGTTGAATTTCAGCAGTGGGAGTGCATAAAAGAAGGGAATTCATTGATTGTCAAGCACCGGCCACGCACTGTTCTGAGTGCCGAGGTGGGCAATGTCCCTGTCTTGAGGAAGAGGATCAGGGGAGGACTGGCAGGAACCAGGCAGATACATTAATGAGCTATGAAGTAGTCAAAGCAGTATAAGGATGAGGTGGTGGGTCAGGAAAGGCCTAAGAAGGTGACGTTTGAGGCAAGACCTAAGAGGATTAGAAGAAGCCACCCTGAGAAGATACGAGAGCAAAGTTCCTAGCAGAAGGCACAGCAAATGCAAAGGTCCTGAGGCCAGAACAAGCCTAACGTTGTCCAGAAAATGAGCCAGTGAGAGGTGAGGTTGCAAGGAGAGCTTGGTAGACCAGGACGAAGGGGCGGCGTCCGATGGTGCATTCAGTGGGTGCCTACTGTGTGTGAGGTCTCACTGAAGCCTCGTGGCTGTCAGGCGGCTGTCCCCATTTCATAAGTGAGGAAACTGAGGCTCCAGCCAGCAGAAAGGGGACTCAGCTTCACCAGCACAGGACGGCGGACTCAGAGCAGGCAGCCCTTCCCACCTCCTGTGCAGGCCCCCACGGCCACCAGGGGGCACAGCCACCCCGAGAAAGCTGGCTGGATCGGCTGCGTTTCCGAAGGCGGGAGGACCACAGACCTCAGGGCCTGCATCTGCCCGGGAAGGGACCCTGGCCTTAGGGAAGCTTCTAAAATAGATTCCCAGACCCACCCTCATCCTCCTGGATCATCATCTTTGGGACTTGGGTTTAGGAATCTGTCTTCTTAATTTTCCCAAATTGTGAAGTGTGATCACTTGCGGAAAGTGAATAAAACACAAACGGGCAGTCTCACAGATTACTTACAAAGATTCGCTTTTGCATCTGACTTCTTTCCCTCACCATATGTATGCAAGGCCATCCCTGTCCTCACAGGCACGGCGCGGTATTTTGTTGGCTTTTACTGCTGTCAATAGCGACTCTGCACGATGTCAAAGCGCCCCAGGGTTTTCTGATGCGGCCAACCCTGCCCCCACACGCAGACTGTGTTCAGCCAGTGTCCATGGAGGGCTCCCCCACGCCAAGGCCATACAGGGGTACAGAGGTGGACAGACAACTCTCTGTCCTCCCAAGCTCCCATTCTGGTGGGGCAGGGAGGGTGGCAAGTGGAGGAGGCACCCCCTGCAGGTGGGGAGGACAGAGGCCTCCCTGAGCAGGGGGCATTTAGGCCAAAGCCTGAGAATGAGAAGAGTCCGTGCGGCAAAATACCTCAGAAAAAGTGTATGAGGCAGAGGGAGCCACATGTGCAAAGGCCCTGGGGTGGACAGGGTGTATTTGAGGCTTAGAAAGGAGGCCACACAATGAACTAAAGGAAAGAGGTGGGAGGGCTTTGTGAGACCGTAGGGAGGGGTCAGTCCTTACCCTAAGGAACCCGGGATGGGGACATGATTGTATTTATCTTCTTAAAAGCTCACTCTAGGCCCGTGGGCGCCAAACCGCGGCTCGCGAGCCACATGCGGCTCTTTGGCCCCTTGAGTGTGGCTCTTCCACAAAATACCACGTGCGGGCGCGCACATACAGTGCGATTGAAACTTCGTGGCCCATGCGCAGAAGTCGGTATTTTGTGGAAGAGCCACACTCAAGGGGCCAGAGAGCCGCATGTGGCTCGCGAGCCGCGGTTTGCCAACCACTGCGCTAGGCGACTATTGTGGAAAATGGGTTGATGAGGGGCTAGGAGGGGAGACTGGGGGGCTAGATGGTAATGAGGTAGGAAATGAGAGATGTCATTTCCTACAAGTGGTCAGATTCAAGGTCCGTTCTGCACACCCGGTGGCCCATTTGGGTACCACCTCTTTGCTGGGCACTTCTCACCAGTGCCCACTCTCAGAGCTGGTTCTGGGTGCTGGTCACGTAACCAGGCTGGGCTGTTTCCCGCAGCTCAGCATCCTGAAGGAGGCTCACCAGGACGAGCTGGGCCGCATGTCCGAAGACCTGGAGGACGAGCTGGGGGCGAGGTCCAGCATGGACAGGAAGATGGCTGAGCTGAGGGGCGAGGTGGGGCCTCTGCCCAGGACCTGGGAGGGCTGGGGGTCCAGGGGCCCTTGAAAGAGGCCTGTGCTCTAAGGGGTCCAGGCACACCCCAGGGGGTACCCTAATCTGCAGGGGGCAGTTCCTCTCCCACACAGAGACCAGAAGTGCCCTCACATCCTGCACACGTGAAATAGCCCAGGTTAATTATAGCCACTGCATCTGGACCTGCTTCCTGGAGCCAGAAATGACTCCAGGAGGAGTGGGGGGTGGGGGGAGGCCAGCTCCGGCCCTTCCGTGCCCCTTCCCCAGGGACCCTCACCCTGTCCTGCCCTGTTCCAGATGGAGCGGCTGCAGGCAGAGAATGCAGCCGAGTGGGGTCGCCGCGAGCGGCTGGAGACCGAGAAGCTGGGCCTGGAGCGGGAGAACAAGAAGCTGCGGGCGCAGGTCGGGGACCTGGAGGAGGCCCTGGCCCGCCGGCGGCGCCAGACAGCCAGCGCACTGGACTGCGACCTGCGGGCCAGCCAGGCTGCACTCTTCGAGAAGAACAAGGTGGGGCAGTGGGTGGCGTGGCCAGGACCGGGGTGGCCCTGCCTCCCCATCCAGCCAGGGCAGAGACCCTACTGTGTGTCCAGTGTCGGCCCACAGGGACCCGGGGACCCCTGAAGTGACAACTAAGGACAGAAGCTGCTCCTCCTGGGCACCCACTCTGGGTCAGGCTCAGTGATCACTGCAGACCTGCATTTATTGAGCACCTACTGTAGGCCCTACGCCAGTGCTTTTTGTCCATCATGTCAACAGCCCTTTTTGTCCAATCCTCTCAACAGCCCTTCTATTTATGCAACAAATGTTTGCACCGAAGACTCCAGACCTCATCCCTCCCCAAAAACCTGACTCAGCTCCAATAGCCTGCTGGACTTCCCATGTCATTCCCATTGGGCACCTCAAAGTTACACGTGCAACATGGAGCCACTGAGTCACCCACCCAGACCTTCTCACCTCACTGGATGGCACCTCTAGCCTCCAGCTACCCAGCCAAACCTCTAGTGCTGGTATTTCAGACACCAGGTGGAGAGATTCTGGGGAGAGGGGACACCAGCACCCCTAGACCTGCCTGACACGGTGCCCTCGGACACTGAGCCCTCCCCTCACCTCTGCTCCCTGCAGGAGCTGGCAGACCTGAAGCACGTGCATGGCAAGCTGAAGAAACAGTTCCAGGAGAAGGTGGCAGAATTGGCACATGCCAACCGGCGGGTGGAGCAGCACGAGGCGGAGGTGAAGAAGCTGCGGCTGCGGGTGGAGGAGCTCAAGAAGGAGCTGGCCCAGGCTGAGGACGAGGTGAGCACCGCTGGGGCCCAGAGGGCGGCCTCCAGACAGCCAGCTACGGTAGGAGTGTCACTCCATGCTGAGTCCCCGGCGCGCGGCATGAGCCTGACTCTCAGGATGTGCACAGGGTAGAGAGGGTGGGTGGGGGATGGATGCATGGATGGTAGATTGGTGTGTGGGTAGGAGGGTGGGAAGAAAAATGGACAGATGAGGTTGATGAGAGGTTGAATAGATTAATTGGTGGATGAGTGGGTAGACTGTAGGTGGTTAAATGGAAAGACAGAAGGATCACTCCAGGAATGGATGAACAGATGGATGAGGGACCAGGTGGACAGATGAATGGGAGAGGGAGAAGGCGGGAGGAAGGATGGATGGATGAGATGTGGCAACAGATGTCTGCTGGGTGATTGGGTGGATCGATGGATGATGGGTGAGTATATGCAAAGATGGATGACAGTGGAAAGATGGATAGACCACTGACTGGATCCGTGGGAGGAAGAATGAATGGACAGGGAAAGAAGGACAGTAGGATGGAGAGATGGAGAGATAGGTGTGTCTGGGAGAATGGAAGGACACGTGGACAGGCAAGGTGAAGGGGTGGCTAAGTAGATTAATGAATGGTGAGTGGGTAAGTGGTATCTTCATGGGCAGATGGATAGTTCCATGGGTGAATGGTCACATGGACAGATGGATGAGGGTAGATGGGTAGGTGGGTTGATGGGTGGGCCAGTAGCGTGGAGTATGGGAGGAGGGGAGGGCTTAGGAGGGAGGGGCAACAGGGGTGGAGAGGAGCACAAGGGATGCTTCCCTGGAGGAGGTGGGCCTTGGTCTAGGCCTCAGAGGACAGGGCCTGCTCTCCAGGAAGAACATCCCCACGGGTGAATGGCAGGAGGCAGGCCAGGCTGGCCCAGCCAAGGTGACCCCATGCTGTTGGCCCTGCTCGCCCCCCAGCTGGACGAGGCCCACAACCAGGCACGGAAGCTGCAGCGGTCGCTGGACGAGCAGACGGAGCAGAGCGAGAACCTGCAGGTGCAGCTAGAGCACGTGCAGTCCAGGTGGGTCCCCACGTGCACCCCTGGGGGGATGGGGCTCCATCAGGGAGAGGATTCCTGGCCAGGGCACAGAAGCAGGGCAGAAAGACTTCCAGCTAAAGGAAACCCGCCCCCCTCCTCCCCTCCGGGGCAGGGTCCGAGCTCAGCTAGAGGAGAAGGGGGAGAAGGAAGAGGGCCGGGCTCCCTGGGGCCAAAATCCTGTCCCCTCCAGGCAGGAAGGGCCGGGCCAGGAAACCAGGGAAGGGGAGTGAGAGCAGGAAGTGAGACCAGCTGGGACCCTGGAATTGTCTCCTGTAGCCAGAGAGCAGGAAGGGTGGCCAAACAGGTCAGGGCCAAGGTGGGGTAATAGGTAGGGCCCATGGGCCTGAGAAGCCACTGACAAGACAAACAAGCAGCCCTCAGGGTCCTGGGCTGGGTGGACCCCAGGCCAGCTGGGATGAGAGGACCTGGAGGACCCCCAGCCTGATGATGGGCCCGAGTCCTCAGACAGACCACAGGGTCTGGGGAACCCGCCGGCACATTCTGCCTTTCTCCCCCAACTCCCCTATCCCAGCACCCTCTCTCTGACACCCCTTAGAGCCATAAGATATCAGAGAGCACCAGGTCCAAGCCCTCCCCACTTCACAAGCCCCCTACCTGGGGCGCCTCATAACCACAACCCTGACCCACTCTTCCTGGGCTGGGCCCCGGGCAGGCCCTTACTCCCCTCCTCTTATTTCATGGACTAGAGGGAGCCTGGGCTCTGCAGCCAGGCTGCCTGGGTGGTGGGCATCCTGGCCCTGTCCCTCCTCGCTGTGTGATCCTGGGGCACTGACTGACCCTCTCTGTGTCAGTTTCCGCATCTGTAAAATGGGGACGATGGCAGCTCTTACCTCTTGGTTGTTAGAATGAAAGGAGCTGGTGTGTGTTTGTAAAAGTGCCTGGCGCATCATGAAAGCTGGACAACTGCCAGCTGCTGCTGTTACTGTGGCTCCTGGGTGGGGGCGCTCATCGTGGGTCAGATACTGTGCTGCAAGAATCGAGCCCCTGTAAGACGGGAAGGGGGAGATCTTTTTTCTAGGGGGTCGGCAGATGAGGAAACTAAGGCCCAAGAGGGTCGGCCCTTCCACAGCCACACCCCCACCCTTGGCCATCTGCCATCTGAGCCCTTATGTACTAAGCGCCTACTATGTGCTGCTGTGTGCGGAGTTTCTGGGAAGGGTACAGCCTGTGGAGCCAGGCCTAACAGCCGGGTGACGTGGCCAACCAAGCCTCAGTTCCCCCTTCTGCTTGGGATGTGACCTCTCAAGTGTTGGGCCGGGGCCCAGGCATGAGTCCAGGTCCCTCTGGCTGTGTCTGGCCAGCGCTGCCCACTCCCCCGCCCCAGCACGCACCCCGTAAAAGGCCGCCTGGCCCCAGGGCTCTCCCGCCGCCTTGGCCGCATTCTCCGGGAGCCATAAACTCCCAAAATGGACAGGCAGGCGCTGCCCAGCCTCTCAAGTGCTTCCATGGGGAGGGCGCGGCCGCCCAGGACCGCTGCTTCATTTTCTTTTCCAACTTTTCGTGCTTTAATGTTCCGGGGACGGCGCACTAAATCACAGCGCCGTAATGGAGGCCCCTGGCTGCGCCCCTCCCGCCGTGTTAATAATTCATGTTTCCTGTAAGATGCCGCCAGGCAGCCACTCTGCGGGGGGATGGGTATCGCCGCCTCTGCAGCTCTTCCCAGGGCCCAGGTTCGCCTGGTACATGTTGGCTTTGGAACTTTAATGTGAGAGGAACTGGGGTGGGGCGCTTTCTCGTAGACACTGGGGATGTAGGGGGCTGAGACACCACCCCCCTCCAGGCCCCCCTGTGGTCTTTAGAGCCGGGCTGGGGTTGGACTCCCAGCAGCGTGACCTTGGGCAGCCGCTCACCTCTCCCAGCCCCCAGCCCACCCCCACCCCCACCCCCGCTCGCAAATTACTCTGAGCAAATTACTCACCTGCCTCGGTTTCTTTGTCTGTAAAATGGAGGTGATAATAGCACCTCCTGTCTTTTCAGGGACCTCTGGGAGGAGGGTGTAATGAGGTAATGTTTGTAAAAGGCCCAACCTGGTGCCTGGCAGTGGAGGTGGGATGAATCCCACACCCTGACCCCGCTGTCACCCCCCAGGCTCCGAAGGCAGCAGCAGAACGCCCCCCTCTTTGGAAAGATCCGCAGCGCTCGCTTTGGCCCTGAGGAGGCCGGGGATGGAGCCAGCGACCTGGACGAGGACGAGGACCTACAGATCCAGGTGGCCTAGAGCTCCAGGGCTGGCAGGACTGGCCCAAGGCCACAGCCCCCCTGGGTGCTCGGGCTGACCGGCCACTCACTGATGCAGCTACCTGTCCTCACCCTGGGAGCACCCCTACCAAGGGAAGCCACGGCCTATGTTTATATATATAGATATATTTTTATATATATGCCTGGTGCTATAAACACTATACCGCCCCAAGGCCTGGTCTAGGCTCCCCCACCTGCCAGGACTTCCATGGAGGGCGGATGGGGTGTCAAGAGAGGGTCATTGGGTCCCCAACCCAGGCTGCCTCTCTGAGCCTTGGGGGCTGGACGGGAACTGTTCATAGTACAATGTGATAAACCCAGTCTTTTGTAATAATAAATGAGTTGAGGTTCTTGGGGTGGAGGCCTGAGATCTGGGCAGGCGGTGTGGGGGACAGCATCGGCCTACACTTGGCACCGAACGTAAGTTCAGAAAGATCAAGTGACTTAATGAGTGCATGAATGAATGAGTGCATGAATGTGAGAAAGAATGAACGAATGAGCATCTGAGCTGCGGAATGGTCCGGGATCCAGCTCCTATGAGGGGAAGGAGACAGGATGGTGCACGTGTTCTCTGGAGAAGAGGAGACTTAAGTCTGGCATCGATGGATTCAAATCTCAGCTCTGCCCCTTCCTGGCTGTGCAACTCTGGGGAAGTTCCTTGCCCTCTCTGAGCCTCAGTTTCTCTGTCTGTAAATCCGATGTCTCACAGAGCTATCCTGAGAATCAGGTGGGTTCATCTGGAGCTCAGTAAACGTTCGTTGTTATTGAAGGACTCGAAGGTATGCCCTGGAGAGAAGGGATATGCCAGCTGGGAGGGATGAAGTTCAGGTGACTGGTAGTTTACCCAGAAGTAAGTGTAAACACCAGAAATAAGAAATCCTTTTATCTTTTCCCCGGCCCTGCTCTAGGTAGTGAAATTATAGGTAATTTTAATTTTATTTTGGATACTTAATCTCTAAGTCCTCTGTAACCAACAGACCTACATTAAACCTGGTGGGAACTGTTATTAACACAGCAGCACACAGTTCTGAACCTTGGCAAATCGAGGTGGCATTCAAGACACCTGCCCGTGATGAGACCCTTTAGAGAAGCCCCGGTGCCTGATTTCTGCGACCGGAGGCTCCGTCAGAATTGTGCTAGCAGGCGGGAGGTGGTGAGTTCCCTGTGTCAGGGGTGTGCAAGGAGAGGCTGGGCTCCCTGCTAGGGGTGGGGAGCAGCATCCAAGGATTTTGAGGGACCCCTGAGGCCACAACCATTGGAAGCCATGAGCCTTGGGGGCTGACAGGCGGGGAGAAGCAGGCCCAGGAGCCCAGCTGGGGGTCATAAATCCGGGCATTGAGTATTGGCCTGTTACCAGGCCTAAACTAGCGATGCCTGAGGTGGCGGTTGCTGTCATGACAGGGAGGCCCCTGTCCCCTCCTGTGCTCCAAGGGGAGTGGATGGAGTTGGGGACACCCAGCCATGGGGATCCCCCCCAGTGGGTCTTTCCCCATAAGCCAGGGCTATCGGAAAAGGGGCTGCGGGAAGAAGACCATTTCTTGCCAGGGGTCTTTCTGTTTTCTCTGCCAAACAGGAAGTGGGCCCCAGAAGAGGCTGGAAAATGCTGCCCTCTGACCCCTGGGAGCTAGGAACCAGGCCCTCACTGACAGCAGCCCTGAGAGCCGCCCCCCCCCCCCCCAGGCCCCCGGGCAGACATGCCATTCCCAGACACAGAGCAGACCAGCGGCTGGCTCCCCCAGACTCCCTGGCACCTCCAGCGAGATAGTGTTGAGCAGGGGCCCCATTCCAGCCCCTGCTTGTGGGCGGGGCGGCTCCGGAGAATGTCAGTGAGGAGGGGGTCTGGCCTCCCACCTCCTTTATCCAAGGGAAACCCAAGACTCAAGGGGAGGCAGCCACAGACAAAGGGCTGCAAGATGGTCCGGGCCTGGACTGCGGGCTACCTCCCTGCGCAGGTCTCCCCTCCCTGTGGTCATGGTGGTGGGGGCGGCATCTGCCAACAGAAGTGGCAGCTTTGGCTCGCACGATGCTGTAGAAACGAATGCATCGCTAATATTAGTCATGGGATTTTCTCATAAAAATAGAGCTTTCTTTCTCTTGAGAAGGCAGCGTCTTGGAGGCACTGAGCTCACACTCCCGCACGGACACAGCTGCGGGGCTGAGCGGCGGGCGCCCCCTGCCCTGGGCACAGAGTTACCCCGTGGGCCGCGGTCCCCACCAGGCTCTGCAGCCTCACCCTACACCCACCTCATTTCTGTGACTGCCTGGCCCCTGGAGGCCTGCGAGTGTTTTTCCTCTGTGCACAGGTGAGGAAACGTGTCACTCGTGCCCTCAGAACTCTGACAGGTTCCTCGTCACCACTCGGGGACGGCCGCTAAGGTCCCAAGCCATGCCATGGGCTTTCCTACCCGTGAGGCAGGCACTGCCATCCTCAGTTCCCACTGAGGATGCAGAGGCTCCAAGGAGCGAGTGACGACCCCAGGGCCACACAGCTGGTGAGTGGCGACACCCTCATTCTAGCTCAGCTGCCGCAGGCCAGACCCTCACTCCTCACGATGCCCCTCCAAGGCCAGGCCCCACGCGGTGCCACTCCAGCCCCCCTCCAGGGCCCTGCAGCCAAGATGAGCTTCCTCACTGCCAGCCTGATGGCCCCTCCCCCACCAGGGTCCCACCAGCCCTTCGAAGTTCACTTCATTCTGAGAGCATTAGTGGGTTGTCACTTGTCTGCTTCTCCGGCCCCACCAGATGCTCTGTCCTATGGGGCAAAAACTCCCCTCGGCAGCCAGCACAGTGCCCTGGGCCTAGTGGGCATCCTAAAAGGAAGGAAAGAAAGATGGATGGATGGATGGATGGATGGATGGATGGATGGATGGATGGATGGATGGGATGGTAAAAGGTTAAAGCCAGAACCACCCCCACCCCGGACTTCCCCTCCCCGCTCCCCACCCCAGTCCCACTGCAATACCTGCTGGACTGGTTCTGTTGGGTCTTTCTGCTGGTCAGCTAAGCCTTCCAAGAAAGCCACAGTAGCCCGGGGGTAGCCGGTCCCGCCTCCGCCTCCTCAGGTGCCTGGACAGGCTGGAGAACCGGCTCGGCCAGATCCTGCCCCTCCTCCCCCTGCAGCCTGAAGCTCAGGGCCCTGGAATCTGTTCTAAAGGCTTGGCCTCCCCAGCTCTCCAGCTGAGGTGGTTTTTGCCCAGCCCTGGGGTTCCCTGCCTCAAACCCGTACCCAAGAGTGAGCCCCTTGTGCCCCAGCCTTCCAGACAAGCCTGGCTTCTAGACCCAGCTGCTTCCTGATGGGCTGTGAGCTTTCTAGCAAGCCCCTGTAACTCTCTAGGCTGTTGTTTCCTGATCTGTTAAATGGGAACAAAAGCAACCGGCTTGTCCAAACCCACATCCAATAATATGACTTTACTGTTACTGTTATTTTTCTGGCTTTCCTTATGCTCTGCATCCCCTCCCAAGACCTCAGTGCCCTGTGCCTGGGGCCCCACAGCCACGCGGGCACCCCTCCGCTCTGGGGCAGTGAGTGAGGGGGCCGGAGGCTGAGGCGGCACCAGCTGTAGCTGTCAGCCCGCCCCCCACACACTCTACCGCCACCACCACCACCACCACCCACCAGCCTCCTCAGCTGCTAATTGCAGGGTTAGGCGATGCCAGCTGCCTCCCAGGCCCCAGGCGGGCGCCTCCCAGTAGAGCCCAGGCTCCCTGGAAAGCCTCCCAGTCCTGGCGGCCCCCAGGCCCAGATGCTCTGGGGGCGCCCTCCACGGTGCTCAGACTCCCCCCGGCCCCTGGGGAGGGGGCCTGAAGAGGTGTAAACACGAGGCCTCCTCCGGTTTTCCCATTTCCCAGGCTTCCCCCACGTCAGAGGAGCATCCTGGCCGCCCCTCCCCCACTGAGGAACCAGCCGGGGCTCCCACTGCTGGGCAAACACAGCCTCCTCCACATCCGGTGCGTGGAGTGCTCCAGATTCACTCTTAAGCACGTTCCCCAAGCGGCCGTGGTCTCAGGTCCCTGCTGATCTAGGATACAGTGCACAGCCCCTGGCTACCCTGTCGGCGTCTCTCCCTCCCCCACTGGCTGGGACTGGCTTTCCCAGCACCGCCTTGTACCTGCCCTGGGCCAGAGCAGCCGTGGTCAGATTGGGTGATGGCTTCACAATGACCGTGTGGCTCCTCGCCTGAGAGCAGTCTAGGCTCCCTCTGGACGTCTAGGCGCCTCCAGGACTCTGGGATCCCCGGGAAGGAGCGGAGCCTTCAGAGCCCGGGTCCCCTCGGTGGTGCCTTTCATTGTCATCGTCACAGTGACCCAGGAGGTGGACAACAAGGTGGGGAAACCAAGGCCCAGAGAGGAAAGGGACCGGCCAGTAAATGACAGGGCCAGCATCGAATCAGGACGGCTGCAAAGGCCACGTGCTCTCGGAGACAGTCCTCGGCCCGGGCCTGAGCCGGCTCAGAGCAGGTCTCCGTATGTTCACAGGAGGGAGGGAGAGAAGAGTGAGCTGGTGCAGACAGACGCTGTCCTCAGCCCCCTTCCCTGCAGGGCACTCCCCAAGGCCCTTTCAGCCCACGCCCACCTGGGCAGGTAGGAGGAGGGGACCCATTTCCTAGGTGAGTACACTGAGGCCCACTGAGCAAAGTAGCTCCTCCAAGGGCACCCAGCCACCCTCTCCTGGGAAGCCCAATCCTTCAAAGAAGGTCTTACTCCTTCACGCCTTTGACCTTCATTATAATAACTCAAGAGAGAGAGCAGCCAAACAGGTGCAGATTCTCCTGCACCCCCAACCAGGCAAGAAGCTCCGCCTCCTGAGCCTCAGTTTCCACCTGTGTCACACGGTGCCGCGACGATTAGAAAGGACACTTGTCAAGCCCACAGCATGGGCGTCAGCAGCCAGCAGTATTGTTTGTCCACTCTCGTCAAGGTCGCCTGCCATGTCTGTGTGGAGACCAGGAGAAGCGCACCGCCCACGCTGGAGGGGGGATCCTTGTCCAGGATCTAACTCTGCCCGCGTGGACCACTCCCCTCAGCCACACTCAGCTCCCCCAGCTCTCAGTCCAATAACAGAAACCTCCGCCTGATCACTCGCCCAGTGGCCCAGGTATCGTCATTCCAGGATGGGGTGGGGCTTGGGGGTACCCCTGGGAGACCAAAGGCCCCTTTGTTCCTGGACCACCCTCCCCTCCCCACCAACCCACCCCAGCGACTGACAGACGGGAGTTAGGTCTGTAACGAAATCCCTTGGGAATCTGGCCGGTGAGACTACTCTATCAGATCAAGTTTATCTGATTGCCCAGTCCCTGAGGGGTAAACTGAGGAAGCTGCCAAGCAGTGAGGGTAGAGTCAGAGAGAGCAAA